GGCACGACACCTCCACACGGCACGACACCGCACCAGGGCACGACACCTCACCAGGGCACGACACCTCACCAGGGCACGACACCTCACCAGGGCATGACACCTCACCAGGGCACGACACCTCACCAGGGCACGACACCTCACCAGGGCATGGATTTATTTCTCGCTCTCCTTCGAAGGATGCAAAGTGGTTTTCTCCTTTTAAAAATCTAGTTGAGGGTACGCCAACCCAATAGGCCTAGCGGGCCACTTTGATAGCGAGTCAACCGTTCGCGGGCCGCACGTCGGTGCACCTTGTATTACAATTTGTTTCGTTTAAAACAGCTACTGAATGTTGCATAGATATGTGGATCTGTTCTTAATGACATAATCAAATGGTCAATAAGAAAACACAATCAAACTGAACGAGTGTGTACATAGTCTAAAAAACATGTACAAAGTCTGAACGACGTGTACACATTCTTACTCCTTTGACTGATTGTGACTCACTTGTACAGAGTCTAACTCGAGTGTACGTCGTCTGACTCATGAGTACATATTCTGAATGACGTGTGTATATTCTGACTCAGGTGTACATGGTCTGACTCACGCGTACATATTCTGACTCACCTGTTGATTACCTGACTACCTGAACAAACAGCTATGCGTACATACCTTTTCTTCCAGAGTTTGGTGTCCAACTGAACAGCGCCTACTGTCGAGTCTCGAGACACAGGTAAACGAGAAAGTAAATATGACAGTGCCGGAATTACCTGTGTGATGTTTGGAAACTTTAAGCCGGGATCAGATAAGAGCTGAATTTATTATTTTTTTTAATGAAACAAATAACCTGAAGAAAAGCAATACATTCTGTGACGTCATTTCAGTTTTTTTTTTGTGGGGGGGGGGGGGGTCTTCAACAGAGGGGGGGGGGGGGGGCAGCGAAAAAAAACAACTTTTCAGACTTGTTTATTTCGTCTGCATGTGCCAGCCAGTTCAGCAAGATGTGTGCTTAATATAATTTGTTTGTCACTGAGTAGAGTAGAAAGTATTGGAAAGTAGGTTTCGATGGTATTTATTTATGTATATTTGCTGCACTGCAACGTGCAAACTCTAGTTTTGTCACTACATGTTTAGCATTAAACTAAATGGGCTACAATGATTTGTTCAAGTAGAAAATATAGTTTTTTTTTGTTTCAAACCATCAAAATAATCATTAACGTCATCAACGTTCACATTGTTTGCATCTTCTTGGGGGCGTTCAATGACCAGCAGAGCATTCAGCCGTGGCTCCACACCCAAAATTTCTCAGATGTCTTTAAACCCTTTTTCCGTGCAAAAAAAATAAATAAAAAATAAATAGCTATGTGTTAATCAACTGATGTCACCGGCAATGTCAGGTCAAGGCCGCTTGCTCTCAAGAGCTCACTACAAACATGTGGAAGACGATTCAAGGAGGTTCGAAGTTGGTGAAGGTCAACACTGTTTCAAGAGCTCACTACAACCATGTGGAAGACGATTCAAGGAGGTTCGAAGTTGGTGAAGGTCAACACTGTTTCAAGAGCTCACTACAACCATGTGGAAGACGATTCAAGGAGGTTCGAAGTTGGTGAAGGTCAACACTGTTTCAAGAGCTCACTACAACCATGTGGAAGACGATTCAAGGAGGTTCGAAGTTGGTGAAGTTCAACACTGTTTCAAGAGCTCACTACAAACATGTGAAGACGATTCAAGGAGGTTCGAAGTTGGTGAAGGTCAACACTGTTTCAAGAGCTCACTACAAACATGTGGAAGACGATTCAAGGAGGTTCGAAGTTGGTGAGGGGGTCAACACAGTTTCTTTTCTTTCTAATGATTTGATAAAAGACTTTGCTGGATAGTCAGTGTGTCAGTGTGAGTCATGACAGTATCGATGACACTAGGATGTCATTTTCACAAGGTTTCCCCCCACGTCATTTTTGTTGTTGTTATATCACCAGAGCTAATGACGAAGTGGAATGTTAAAGTACCAGTGCTAACGGGAGGAAGAGTGGAGGGGAGGGGAGGGGAGGGGAGGGGGGGGCGTCTGTGTTGAAGGTCATCCTTTTCTAGCCCACGCTTTGGTTGTCCTTTGGAAAACTTTTCTTGAAATTGCTGGAAGAGATGCCACCAGGGAGTGGGAAGGGGAAGAGGTGGCACCGGGGGTGTGAAGAGATGCCACCGGGGAGGTGGGGTGGGGAAGGGGTGGCACCATGAGGGTGTGTGGTGGAAGGGGTGCCACCAAGAGGAGTGCACTCTTTTGAAGCGATAGCACCAAAATTATGTAACAGTTTGCCCCAATCCTTGAGGGATATGACAATGATACAAAAATCTTTTAAGAAACATTTAAAGCCTTTTTTGTTTAAATAGCTTTAAGAACATCAGAGCGCTGTGAGCATGCTATAGCAGCATGGATACAAGCGCTATATAAATATTCAATTCAATTCAACCAATGAGTGTGGCAGGGAATGGGTAGCGCCGTGAAGATGGGTAGGAACAAGACACGCACCGGAAATGGGAAAGGTGGCAAAGTAGAGGTAGTATGGGAAGGGTGCCACTGGAAAAGTTGGTAGGAGAACACCTGGGAGGTGGGAGCGTAAAGATTTGACACCCTTTCACTTGATCATTGGAGATATGGTCCCCAAAGGAGATGCCAAGAATGCTTCTGAAACATCTCATCTCCATCGCCTTTATTTTCCTTTCAAGATCTGCTGTTCTAATGTCCAGGACTCGCAGGCATACAGGAAAATGGAGAGGACTAATGAGCGCATCAGCCTATATTTTTGTCGTTCCATATTGAGGTGGGGGAGGGGGTCTAAGAAAGTTAATTTATGCGTGACGTGATTTTCGAACGACCCCAAACTTTAAATTGAAGTCGAAATTGCCTCAGGTAATTGTAGGTAACGTGAACCTCAGTCGTGCACACCTTTTGCGCATATTGAAAAATGACGCAAAAACTGTTGTGGCCATTTTATATTGGGCTCGGGGAGGACTACTTGTTTCACGTCACAGTTTTCTAATGACATGACATCATAACCCATAAGGGAAAATGTTAAAGAATAAAATAAAATCTTAATTTAGTAATAATTTTTTTAATTATATTCATTTTTTTTTAGGTGTGACGTGACCGTTGGCTTGTCCGTCACAAATCTATTGTAATCTAACTGACACAGCGCAGTGTAGGCTAGGCAAAGTCCAGGCAATTATGGAAACTTGGTTATATTTATTTAGCAACCTTGCATTATCTCCCCTTATTTATTAGTGTAATTTGTAATCATTCAACTTCAATATACTTTCCACCGCCACACAATAATCCTGTGACCCAATACATTCAATAAAACCCAAGTTGAGGGCTCCAACATTTTATTGATGTTCCATTGATGGCCTTTAAAGTCCATCACTCTCCACTTTAATGGCTGCTCGCAACTTAGCGGATCTTCCTCTTGGATTTTTTAAACATTCTTCCTCTGTGGGTTCCAGAACTTTTCTGGACAAAGGCAGCCATGGTTTCGTAAGGAATTCGCTCTTGACATCATCGATGTTGAAGCTGAGGCTTGAGTTCCTGAAGTGATCATGGATGGACAAATTGGCAGCCTCATCCATGTCCAGATCATGGAAGTGTCGCTTCACTATTCTGTCTTCGAGCGAGTGAAATGAGATCACAACACAGCGACCATTTGTTCTGAGGTAGTGTCTGGCCAGTTGAATGCCGTTGTGAATTTCATTTAGTTCATCATTAACGAATATGCGCAAGGCCTGAAAGGTCTTTGTGGCCACATGGGCATGTCGAGATAATTTATCATGTCCAAATGCATCACTGAAAATATAAAATGTAAAGGAATATCGGTTTGGCAATTTATTAATAAACAATGTGAAAAATTAATGTAAAAATTTCGTTAAAAATATGTCTAGCCACTGGCAGTATATTTATGGACAATGCCCACTGTGAGAATAAAATATATATAAGTTTATTATAAGGTTGATGCGCATAATTTTGTGTTTCTTTTGTTTTTATGGAAAGTGTATGCAGACCTTTGATGATCTATATATATTATTTGCCAGCAAAGGTCAAACACCACCACCACCACGCAGGCTATTTATAGATACGCCAGAGTGTGGTTCAATAGTGAGTTCACTAACGTGCAAAATATAATTCCTGATAACTACGCTAAATGATATACATATATTATTAATAATGCAATTGCGTTTGGTGCGTAATATTTTCTTTTCGGAAATGAAATCGTCTCAATTTAAGTATTGTGTAAAAAATTTTTGGTTTAAAAGTGGTTGGGACTTGAGAATATTAATAGAGTTCATGGGCGTGAAATAAAAAGTGTGCAGTGACGTATCATGGGGGGAAGGGGTGTAGCAAATATTGGGATTCTTAAACGTGCGTTAGTTGAGTTCATGTTTTGTCAAGTAACTTTAGTAGATGGGAAGTTCACGCATTGCTGTCACCAATATTTGGCGGACTATATCTAGTAATATTAGATTTATTTGGATCTTTATCTTAGTAACAAAGTATTAGTTTCTTCTAGTTATTTGCACTAAAGTAATTATAGTTAAGACCAGTATATGTCAGAACAGTACTATTTAAAATAGCTTTTCATCAAAAGAGAACAATGTGTTAGTTGTTGATTATACTCGGACGTCTGAAAGTTGTGGATTACATATATATCACCCCTGAGACAGATGTTCGAGAGCAGTATCATTGTATCCCCAATACCAAGAATACATTGATCTAACCCCTTGGGTAAATTGTTGTAGATTTTTACCCCATTATCAAATGTTCAAAATCACATTAAATAACAATTATTATACTCAAATATATATATAATTATTTATAAAAAGCTATGTTAATAACATAAGTTCCAAGGTGACCTAATCACATTACTTTCAAGGTAAGCTAATCACATTACTTCAAGGTAAGCTTAGATTGTAAGCTCTGTATGTCAAAGTTTTACGTGAGTAAAGAATATTAAAAAGGTTAAAAAAAATAATCTTAAGACTGCATGATATTTATCAAGGAATCTGAAATAAAATACATCTCATCAATACTTACTTCAATAATAAGCGTTTGAAGACAACCTTTCAAGTCAACTTAAGAATAGTAGTCAACTTGTACGTAATATTAGTCCATTACTTTCAAAACTAATTTTGCAGATGGAATAATGAACAAATCTAGACTATATGTTAAACTCACCAGTTGAAAACATTTTGTATAACATCTGCAAGTTGGCGTGTACGTGTGAACTTCCCAAAAGCGTATCTGGCCTCAACAATAGCATGAGCTATGTCACGACTCTTCCTTTCCTCTCCGTACTTCTTCAAGATATGTTCCAGATCTGAGGCATCCAGTGTGTTGACTACGTCGGCTGCTGTAATTTGATTAGGATCACTGCGGACAAGAGGATGACATATGCAGGACAGTTTGTGGACATATACAGGACAGTTTGTGGACATGTACATGACTGTTTGAGGACATGTACAGGACTGTTTGAGGGCATGTACAGGACTGTTTGAGGACATGTACAGGGCTGTTTGAGGACATGTACAGGGCTGTTTGTGGACATGTACAGGACTGCTTGTGTGTAAGTCAGCCCTGGGGTACATCACTAATTGATGGTGCCATGCTATAGCTTATGACCTAAGAACTTAATAAGAAAAGAAGAGAGCAACAGAACCTAGAATCCTGACAGTTTAATAAACTGAACTGTTTTTGTAGCAAAAGTATCATGTTAAGTTACGTACAACATCAATACTTTTCTCTACACTGTTTATATCGATTTTGTTATCCTTCTTATAGACAGCATCACCGCTAACAAAATACTGTTCTAAAAATATGCAGTTTAATAAAACTATAAAGAAGGAAACCTATTGAAATCATGGAATAAATGAAAGATAACAATGTTACCTCCCTTTGCAATTAATATTACATTTTTTAACTTTTAAAATTCAATACTTTTTTTATTTACAAGCACTGCCATTATATGTAACGTTCTACACACACCTAAACAATAGCAGTATGTTAACTGTAAAACTTTGTAGACCAGGAGTCTCAAACTCAAATCGTCCGGGGGCGGCAGATGGTAGAGTCTGATTGAGACTGGGCCGCATCAAGTATTACACAAAAAACCGATTACAAACTCATTAAAGTTCAACTGTTACAATCTGCTCAACCTTTATAAATAACAAATGAAAACATTAAGAGTTCTAAAAAACTAGGCTTCACTTTCTTTCTCCTGCTCCTTGTTTCATGAGACCTGGCAGAGCTTCTTCTTACACAGCTGAGCAACATTTGGCTTGAGTGAGGAAGCAACTGAGACCCTCAGTATAGCTTGAAGATGTTCATCAGTATGTTGGACCCTGAACTTTGACTTGTTAAATTTCATAGTCAAAAAGGGCTTTTCACAGGGGGGGAAAGGGGGGGGGTGTATCTTCAACATTAAAGGAGAAAGGGTCAGCGAAAATTTTGAAAAGTGGCTCTGTGTATTTTGAAGTCTGAAAACATGTGATCAAATTCTTTCTGTAGCTTTGCAATGGCATCAGTATACTTACTACTAAATTACTACTGAATGGTGTGCCCAAGTCCATGAGTACTTTGCATGTTAGGAAATGGCAGAGGTTTCTAGAAGAATCATAACACAAGTTTTGTACAGAATGCTCTGACATTGTCATAGGCACCACTGACAAGCTACCTCTGGTCCTGTAACTTCTTGTTGAGTACATTCAGCTCCTCTGTAATGTCAACCAGAAAAGCCAAGTCCATGAGCCATTTGGGATCACTTAGTACAGGAGCAGCCACCCCATCCTTCTCAATGAAGGCTTCAAATGCTAAAACGTGTTCAAGAATTAAGCATTAGCAGGAGAAGCAATATTTATGAATTATTGATGTGAAGCAAGATGCTATTGTAGGAAGAATGAATTTTGATTTTTTTTTATCATAGAAAAGCAGACTGGCTCCGAATTTCCCTCACTCATAAACACTAGCAGCAATTCTAATGGGGATTCTTTGATACTGTGTCCGATTGCTACGATTTACACTAAATGACTTTTTTTCCTCAAAACCACACTTTGGCCATATTTGACTCATAAAAAGCTATAAATTAAAAAACGTTTAGTCTGATTTTAAAACCTTTTTTTACCATAATAATCAAAGTCCAAATATATCATAAAAAAGCATTAAAAAATTAGAATTAGACTAGTTGGAGAGATTAGACTGAAACCATCGCAGAGGGTCACATTATAGATTCGAGAATGGGGAAACATGGGCCCCATTAACACTAAACTTTGCTGTTATGTAGCGGGCCGCAAAATATTTTCTTGTGGGCCGCAAATGGCCCGCAGGCCGTGAGTTTGAGACTCCTGATTTAGACTATGTATTTTAGAAATATTTTAATTTGCTAAGCTCAAGTGTTTTTCCTTGAAATACATCCAGATCATTAAACGTGAATATTTATACCAAAAGTTTTTTTTTAAAGTTATCCGCCTCTCTTAGTATCATTGAAAATGAAGAGATTAAAAGATTTTTTTGAAGTGACACAGGGTAAATTAAGGAAAATGTGCCATCTGTTACCTTAAAAGGATAATAAGCAGTGTAAAGAGAAATATTAAGGGCAGGATTTTGGACTACTTCCAACATTGAACAAAACACATGGATAAATTATTTGGTAAAACTAAGCTTAAAGATATTGTTACAGATTAGCCTCGTATAGAGAATGGCTCAGGGGGGTTAAGGGTGGACCTCTGGAAAATCCTTGCCCAACACCACAAGCTCTCGGTGGTGTTACACGGAATCTTGCCTCTCCGTGGCGTGCCTGACTAGTAGGGGGGAGTTTTCCTTCTGAAGCTAAAAGATTCCAGGCAAAACGCATGACTTCTAACGCAACGGAAGTTTAAGCGCTAACATGATTACTTGTTGCCGTTGATGGGTATGAGGCAGTGGGTGGCCGCCCAAACCCTTGTCAATGATTAAAAAGACGCGGCCCTGAGAAAGCCGCCCCTAGGCGACCGTTTCGTCCCCGCTACGTCCAGATCGAACCACTCCCCGAACGGTGGGTTGAGGTAACGCAACGCCTCCCCCGGAGAGGAAGTAAAAGCCGTTTTGACCCTTCACAGTCCAGACCGAACCGCTTCCGGGTAGCGGGTTTGAGGCAACGCAACGCCTCCCCAGAGGGAAATAATTCGTTGGGAACCAAATGCTTGCACAACTCTCAGGAACGGTGGGAGAAAGTTAAGCTCGTGACTACTCCCAGAGTGGAAGTAAAGCCGTCCCGCACCAAGGAAGGCACGACTCCCTAGGCGGTGGGGGTGGCAACGCAACGTCATCTCCGGAGAGGAAGCAAAGCTGTTCCAACCCCACGTCCCGACCGTAAGACTCAATGGGCAAGGGGGGCTGTGACGCAAAACTGTCCTCTCATGAGTGGAAGAAACCTGCCCTAAACCCCATTACTCAAGGCCGAGTTGCATGGCCGGATTCCCCAGGGACTACTAGGCTATGTTTCACCGCCAAAGGTCATAAGATATAGAATCCCGACCTCCGAGTATTGATCTTTATTAGAGAATGGCTTGTTTTTCCATTCAAGAGTTATTTTTAGCACCCACTTTTCTCGTTAGTATAGCCTTGATATTGATGTCACAGTGTAAATGCGCACGTTCACTCCTTCTTTGGCTACCCCTTTCTACACTGGGAAAGCGTTGTTTAAATTTGAATGCGTTCCATTTATCCTAAAGATTGCCTTTTGGTGACGGAATTGCAAGAATTTCTGTATTAGAACAATCTGAATTGGTTCTGTAACAGACCAAATTAACTATGATTTTTCACACAACACCAATATTTACTCGCAAGGCACAATGGCGTAGTGATTTGATATAATGAAGTAACCACAAGAAAAACCGGGGACTAGTTTATATAGGGAAGAAAGAATTCATGTTTTTTAAGTAGAGCAGGTGTGAACGAGATACCTTGTATGTGAGAAGACATATTGGATTTCTCGAATAGATAATTGAATTAATATCAGATGGAGTATTATTGAACGTGTATGTATATATATTCTTTGCATTGCAACTATGAGTGTGATAGGATATCTTGATATCAAGGAATTATTTGACTTATTTAGTATATGTAATAAAGTGCTGTGTATATTATTCATTTGGACAATATTGATTTTTGAGGGAGTGAAAGAGACAGCTTTTGAGGCGTGGAATGAATTGTTCAAGTCGTAGCGGCAAGCCATCGGTTACATTGAGCTCACGGATTTAGTTAACATTGTATGGGTAACTTTACTGAGCCATAAGCGCCTCCATCTATAAAAGTTACATATACAATTGTTACAGGCTCCTATAAATAGGCTGCTTGCTTTCTTAGCAGATAGGCAGAGCGAGTCGGGGAGAGATTTTTGCTACTTGTGAGGTTATATGATTGTGTGAGTAAATTAACATTTGTATTTTGAGGAGTGTACCTTTTTCACTTGCTGTTATGTGATGTAGCTTTTTGTTTTTGTACTCAAATTTTTATTTGAACAGAAATGTATTTGTATAATAAATTGACTATCACTAGCTTTCCTATAGTTTTCTTTACATACCCGGTACTGTTTTTCTCAGTCCTTTGCTTTGTATTGTTTATTATATGAGCCAAAATCTTTACAAAGATAACATTTTCAAAACCATAACAGTGCATAACACATTGGGCGCAACCATCACAAGAAACTTTTTCACTACAAAGTTGCACTATTTTAAATTTAAGCAGCCTTTTTAGCTCAAACTCAAATGAAAAGTTAGATGTACAGTATTAGGGCTTAACAGACCTGCCTCCGTCCATTCTCATATCTAATGGGCCATCTCTAATAAGAGAAAATCCACGATTTGATGTATCAAACTGCATAGATGAAACGCCAAAGTCAAAGAGAAATGCATCTACCATTCCTGGTTTTATACCAAGCTGATGAAGATGTGAAGCAATATTGGAGAAACGGCTGAGGATTGGAGAAATCGTCCCTTCTCTGAAATAAGAAAAACAGACAATGTTAGTAACTCTGTGAAATTAAAGAATATACTTGGAAGAACATATGATGCATCTTAAGTTTAAGTTCGATTACCACGCCAGAGTTGAATATTTTGAGTAGTCCTGCAGTTTATGGCAGGTAATTCAAAGATACATAACACATTATTAAGTCAGTTACTGTTTTCTTAAATTTTAATAATTTTATCCTCAATGATAATGTGGAATTCACATTGGACTTCAAAACACTTTGACTCAATTGCATTAGACTACTATCTAAGAGGAGTTTCTATTAGAAATCTAATGTAAGTAGACTTATGGAAAGTTCAGTGTGAATAAATGAATTCATTCGTACCTGTATTCACCAGCCATCTTTTGTGCCAAGTTAATTGCCAGAGGATCTCTATCTGAAGCAATGTACCTTATGTTTGGAGCAACATTTAGAATTTCCCTCGCATGGCCCCCAGCACCAAAAGTCATGTCAACTATAAGCTGTAAAAGAATAATTATAATCACAAACATTATGTGCAAATATAAATGTATAGTTTTGAAACAGATGAAAAAATGTATGTTGGTATTGTGCCATTATTGTCCAAACAGAGAAAGAGTTATTCACCCTAGATAAAATATTAAGACATGTTATTTTAAAGCTTGAATAACTAAAAGAGTCAAGCAAAAGGACATTTTTACAATCTCATTCACTAGCTAGAATGCAGACTCAGTTATATCACCCTAGATAAACAGCTTAATAGAAGCCATGTGTTATATAAGCAGCCTAAAGCAACTTGGTACACCAATTAATTTTTTTTATTGTATGCATAAATAAAATATTGTTTACTTTATGTATACCCAATAATGTATGTACCCATACTGTTCTAGTCATTTTATTAGCATTCTAATTCTAAAATGTAACTTTCACCACCCTTATCAGAACTTAATAATTTTTTTTTATACACTCGCTTAGTGCGCTAAAGCTCTTAAAATGTTCAAGTCTTAGAATGTACAAGCAGTAATTACATATGCATCCAATAGAACCAAATGAAAAAGTTTCCACTCAATGACCTATCAGGATCAGTGCCATAGTTTTTTGTTTTTTAAACTGAGTTTTGAGATAAATACTTCTGACTGTAAGTTAAGTAATTTTATCATCAAAATTGTTTTAAGCATTTTTAATTTTTCTACCAAAACAACAAAAAGTATTTTACAAGATTAGCCATGAAAATTATCTAAATCAAAACAGGTTATTCTTGCTAAATACTATGCAGAGCTTCAAGAGAATTAGGTTACAACTTAAATTTTACCTGTCCGTCTTGAGGTTGTAGTGCATTTAGTACTTCGTTAACCATAACAGGGATGTGTTGCACACATTGGTTTGTGTGGCTCTTATCATTAATGCTAGAACCAGCCAGGTCATCTGCCCGATCATTTCTTAGTGTTGAAATGACAGGTTTGGCAATTTCTTCATAGTCAATTTGTGGAGGTGGTGTTGTAAATGGCCGCCAGTGGGACCAAAAACTAGAGTTTGGTCGAAATAATCGACAGTACTGCTGTTTTGCATCTGCTGTTATACTTGAGTGAAACTGACAACTTTCAAAGGTTTTTATTTTGTTTACAATGAGACAGAACTTTCTATAGGTTATTGGCGAGGTCTTCATTCTGTGAAAAGTGTTGTGCTAGGAACATAAGATTTTAAGCTCAGAGGAAACTACACTTTTTAGATTTGGTTTGTTTGTAAACACTTTCCTATTACACGTTGATGGTTTTTCACTTATATGCCATCTTGAAGACACTGTCCTATACAAAATTGGTAAAAGTTTACATTTATTAAAATATCAATTTATTTATAAGTAATTAATACATAAATAAATTCTCTAACAAACCCACGAGAAAATGTTTGTCTTTTTACTCAAATTTTGGTTAAAATATTTAAGTGAACACAATGCTTTTTCTTAGGAAAGGAAAATATTTTCTTATAGTTCTACCCAAAAAGTCAAGAGATTTTATTTAAAAAATCAGAGGTTACACAAGACAAAAAACATTTATTAATAAATGTTCAAAAGTCCTCAGTAATAAATAGAGAAATATTAAAATACAAAGAGACATGAATAACTAAAAGTAGTAATTGTAAGAAAAAAAACTGCAATAAATATTAATATCAAATTAAGTACAGGGGAACCCAACTATGTCGCTGGCCTCAGTATTTGCCAAAAAGCGTCGAGATAATCGATGATCGAGATAAATGAAAACCAATATGGTGGCAGTGTATAAACATGTGCTTGAAATTTCTTTATGTACATGATGAGCATTTATAAAATCGAATGTACATGCACATGTTTTTAAACTTTTCTTTTACACCACAGTGTCACCCCGATTTGTTTGATGAAGCGATCGGCATGCTATAAAAATGTACATACATGTTTGCTAACAACACAAGGAATATGTGGGGTGCCACTTTTCTGGATTATCCCAGAAATCCGGATTCATGAGGCCGAATATTTTTCAGCTCCGGATTCATAAGTTTTTATTTTCTCTCGCTCCAGATTCGCCAGTTCAGTTTACTCAAATACGGTTTCTGGATTTTAAAAAAAAATCAATGTGTAAGTGTAAAAACCCATGAAAGCCTATTCAGCAACAAGCGGGTTCCCTATAGATAGAACAGGTACTGCAACCTCTCTCCTTTGTTTGCAAGCCTCTCACTCCTAGCTTCTTGCGAGTCAAATTTATTGTGCGGACGATATTGTAATTTTATTTGAATTACTACAATTTGAAGTAGGCACGTTTCTGTTTTATATATATTTTCAAAAGCCGGCGATTGGTCATGGGGATCGAGATAACTGACGTTAAGTGGCAAATTTGGCCCCCTTTTGTGCTTGGGATACCAGGGTTCGGCGACATAAAAGAATCAACATAACTGAGGAGAAAATGCAAAGATAAAAAGAGAATTTGGCGGTTCCACTTAAAAAATATTGACATAAGAGGGTTGGCAAGTTAACCGAGGTCGAGATATGTGGGTTCGACTGTACTGACTTTAAAAAAATTAGTTCCACATACCAATTTGGCATAACATTAGCAAAGTTGGGCACAACCAGAGCCAGAATTATGTAAAAATTTGAGACCTAGCCTAGCGAAGTTAAGTGGTATAGGGATAGTTATTGACTTAACAATGTTTTTCAAATAGAGTTTTGGTTTATATTTACATGTATAATGTATAGATAGCTGATTTACTTTTAGATGCATATTACAAGGAACAGTTAGTGACTGAGTTAGGCCTACCAGTTTTAAAATGTCATATTGATATTGGTTTCAGGTAAATGTGTAAAAACATGAAATGACATCAAGACATCATGGCATCATTCTCTGCATTGACCTAGTCCTAGCCTAGAGAAGTTAAGTGAAAGTAGTATAGTGGTAGTTAAGTTATTGACTTAACAATATTTGGTATAACTCAACATTTATAATAAAGAAGAGCTACCAGCCTACCAGTTTTAAAATGTCGTATTATTTATTATTGGTCTTTTTATTGAATATTGCAAATAAATAAATAAAATAAATATTTGAAGCTACCAGACCGACCAACTTACTTAAACGGGGTATAAACGGCAATACAACACGTTTAGGCTCACTCAGTACTGCATGAGATATACCGTTTGTTTACTCATACTCATCAGTCATGTGCAGTACTATTATGTTTATCCCTATTGAAGTGAAGGCTATTGCTTTTGAAAATTAGTTTAGAGTTCATGTTACTGGGAACTCTTCTGTGTTAAATAAACGGATATGCACTCTCCCCAATCGTTAATGGGGAAATAAGGACAACCTGGCAAAATGCATTATTGGGATGCAAACTGAAAAAAAAAAATTAAAAAAAATACATTCATGATTACATGAAATTAAAAAAATAATAGAAACCACTACAAAAATGAAAGTATGCTTTCTTGAAAAAAATTAGGCTATTTATTTTTGGTGCTGCTTTTCGTGTAACAAACCAGGACCAGGGAATTCGACAAAAAATGAAATGAAATGTGAAGACAAATTAAAAGTAGATCATATTTAATTTTTGAATTTCACAATTCCGCACAAGTTTTAAGTCTGGGATGCACTGGACAAATAGACATCTCTAGCTAAAACCCTTTAAAAAATTACGGAATTTTTCATAATTAACTACGTATTTAAATTAAACTAATTTAACAATTTTTTCCAGATGACTTGATGTTCAGGATTAGGTGAAGTGAAAAAACAATAATTACTAGCTACCGAACGGGCTTCAAAAAAAAAAAAAATTAAGCGTTTTAAAAAGTTAAATGTTCTTTTTACGACTTCTTGTTTGTATATTATTATTTGCGAACATTAAAAATAAAGACTTGAATTTTTTTTATTCCAAATATAAAATAACCAATTTTGGTTACCGGGGTATATAATAATAATAATAACAATAATAATAATAAAGTTTATTTGAAAATCACGCTTCATCCCCAAAGGCTCGAAGCGCGGTACGAAGTCTAGCATATTAAAAGAGAAATGAAATAATCCATAATATACCACATTGAAATACAAAATGCAACTTAAATGCAACATTGCAAAAAACTATATACGAGAATACCCATTTTAAGTCTTTCATACCTAACAACCATAAACAACACAGGCCAATACACATCTTCAAGATAATAGCTAGATAGACAACTTCATCCCAGCAGGTGTTTGCGAAATAGATATGTCTTCAGATCAGTTTTAAAAGACTCCAATGACTGACTGTTTCTGAGAGCGACAGGAAGAGTGTTATCGAGAGTTTGCCACTATCAGATGAGCGGAGGTGTCTAGTTGGTACATAAGGCGTTTACAGCTTTGAGATAGGACGGTGCCAGGTCATGCAAGCAGCGGTAGCACAGAGTTGCAATTTTGTACTCTATGCGAGCGCGGACCGGCAGCCAATGCAACTCTCTCAGAAGTGGTTTAGCATGGTCGAATTTGCATTTGCGAAAAACAGTGCGAGCCGCATTATTCTGTGATTTTTTAAATTTTATCTAGGAGTGTAGCTGGAAGACCCACCATGAGAGCATTGCAGTAGTCCATGCGTGATAGCACGAATGCAGACATCAGCTTCTTTGATGCATCTAACGTTAAGAAATGTCTGATAAGACTAATTCTGCGCAGATCTAGAAAAATCGCCTTGCAAAGCATGTTAATGTGATTTTCCATAGTTAGTATTCTGTCTAAATAGACACCCAGGCTTCGCACTGTTTTTTTAGCAGACTCAATCTGTATACCGGTACCTGAGAGAGTAAGGGATGGTGTGTTATTTATATATTTTAGATTTTGAGCGGTAGCAATGGGGATCAGCTCGGTCTTTTCATCATTCAGTTTAAGCTTGTTTATACTATTTATACTCATCCAGTGCTTAACTGACTCCACTGTCTTCTGAGTCATACTAAGAAGCTGAGGAAACTGAGAGGGGATCACAGATTGCCGAAGTTGGGTGTCATCCGCGAACATGTGATATATAAAAGCACCGAACCCTGGGGTACTGCTAATTCGATGAAAGATTGCTTTGAGGTCAAGCCGTTTGCAATAACTGATTGGACCCGATTTGTTACTACATTGTTAGATACGAGCGGAACCATTTCAGGACGATATCGGTGAAACCGAACGTATTTTCCAGAGGTTGGAGAAGTATGCCGTGGTCATTGACGACGCGCAACAGGGCTGTCTGGGTAGAGTGATGCACCCAGTATGCTGACTGGAAAGGCTCAAACAAGTCACATCGAATGAAGTGATTCAGGAGCTGGCGGAGAACGACCTTCTCCAAAATCTTAGACTTAGATATAAATGGAAGATTAAACACGGGGAGATAATTTTCCAACACATTTGGGTCGAGATTCGCCTTTTTTAGCAGTGGAGTTACAACCGCCTCTTTAAAAGAAGATGGAGCAATACCAGATTTTAAAGACTGATTTATGATATTAGTTATGGTAAGGGCTATTTCATCTAAACATTCGTACAACAGCCTTGCCGGAAGGGGGGTCAAGCAAACGTGACTTTTTCGGGGTCGCCCTGATCTTCGTAGCTTTCGATATAAAGATTAATGCAACTTTCTAAACGCATTTGTTCGAAACAAGACCTCTAGAGCTGTGGTTGGTCGTTGACAACTGATGACCCTGGAGCCTCAAGCAGATTGTTGAAGGGTCTTTTCAGATTTTAAAATCATTTTATACCTATTCCTTAATGACATTTAAAAACTCCACTTGTCTTTAACTTCCAAAATATTTCTTAGCCGTTATAATTTAAAAAAGGATCCCACTTCTGTTAAAAAGAAATTATATTTGAGCGTCATGGTGAAGTGGCAGAACGTTAGGGCGACCAAATCATGAACTGGAAAAAACAAAACATGACACACCCAAGGAGGGTTTGGGGGATACCATCCAGCTAAAGAGGAGTCCCGGGGCCTCCACCAGAAACTTTTAATTGAAATGCGCTCATTTTTAACTATTTTGAGACCTAGGAATCTTTGAACATGTAGGCTACCTTCACTTTTGTAATTTAATGTAATATAGTTCCACAAAGGAAGAGTGGCAGGCGATAAAGGAAGAGTGGCAGGCGATGTATGGTCACAAACTACGTCGACGGATGCTAAGGACCAATCGTCGGAGAACCCTTCGACGTAGGATATCGTCGTCCTCGTCGAGCGACGAGGTTGGGGAGGGGGGGGGGGCGGAAGCCACCCCGCCTCCCAGTCCGGCGAGGCCCACTCCTCCGGCCAATCCCCGAGTCCCCACCGCAGGATGACTCAGGGCTGGAGACCCTCCCTCCTAACCCTGAGCGGAACCCGCCTCGACGCCTCATCCTGTGCCTCAGGCGGTGTCGCCCAACTCCACCGCCATCACCAAGACCACCAGCCCCCGGGGAAACCACACACCCCCCACCAGCATCTCATTCCACATTACCGGGGGGATGAGTATGAGCAAGTTTTTGACGATGATGAGGGGCCAGACCTATTTTTCGATTAGAAAAAATAATCTAAACAATACCTCTTTTGTTATCTTTAATGTTGTCTTTAAAATTAATCAATCAAAATACACTCGTACAATATTTCAAATCACTAGATACGTATTTATAGCGTTGTGCATCAAGACGATAAAAAAAAAAAAATCAAAGGGAAGTAATTTAAAACCCAACTAAAAATGGTAATTATCGGGTTATCACCCTTGTAGGAGGAACCTCCTACACATCCTTCAAAAACCCCATTCAAAATGCGCGCCATTGCCTGCACTACATACTAACTCGTTTTTGTTTTGTGTTTTTTTAAAGTGGTTCCTAAAATGGTTCTATTCCATTTGCCTTTTCCACATTTAGCTTTCCACCGGGGGCCCTGCGTTAATTTGTTACTAGTACACAACAAAACAGCGAATACATTTAATTTGAAACTATAATAAAATTAATTGATGCGTACAAGTAAATAAAGCACGTTCCCGTACGCAAAGAGCTGTGCCAAATAAAATAAAAAAAATAGAAAAAAAGTAGGTTTGGCGTCAAAGTATCCCCTATCAAGTCACAACCACAAGCAAAGTAACCCTACGCGGCTTCTTCTACGATACCACATTAAATCTAACGTTGAACTAATAAATAATGCTTACGAATTGCAGGTTATTTATGAACTATTTTCCTTTTTTTATCACTAATCCTAAAGCCTAACAGCCTACAGTAGACTTTAGCAACAGTTATAGGGAAAAATTATTGTTTTATTTTAAAATGTACGAGTGCATCTAAGCAGTGGCGTAGCTAGGGTCGGTGTCACCCGGTGCGGTAAACTCGTGGTGTCACCCCCCCCCCCAATCCTCACTCCAACTTCAAAGATGGATTTGTTATACTTGAAAAAAGTCCAAAGTATAACAATGACAAGATAAAAAAACAAATTGATTAAAGGTCAGAAGATAAATGTATTTAAGAACTGTATTTAAGAATTTATAGGAGCCAGAAAGATCAATAGATTGATCGAAGGCCCTCAAAATATAGGAGAAGAAGAAGTAAAAACGTTAAGTTATAGTTATTTTTACATTAATTTTACTTTGGAATTCGATATCAGCTGCCTTTAGTGTCTTCTAAGCCTAGTATTTCTTTAAAAAGTTCATCTTTTGATAACTTTTCATAGAAAGAGGTTAATTTTGGAACGGACACCAATAACTCTACTTCACTTGTTGATAGTGGACTCTTTGAGTTGAACAGCCCCAAACATATCTGGTAATTCCTTGATCACTGTTCGGGATTTCAGAATGAAAGCGAGCAATGCACACACGCATCTTTCTTCTCTTTACTTCTCGCAGAGGGAGTCTAGCATCCATTAATTGTTCTCCTTTCGTTCTCTTCTTAAACCTTTTTGTTCTCTCTAACGAAATTTCATATTGGTCTGATTTTAAAAGTACCGGTACATTTTCAATAGCATGTTACACAAAGTAAAAGCGATTCTCGTGCAGAAACAATCTTAAGGCCTCTAGGTTGGTCATCATTTTGTCAAGAGTAAAGCCTTCAGTCTGCAGATACTTCTGTGTAAGATTAACATCTTCAAGTAGACAATCCCAAAGGTAAGGGTACAAGATAAACTTGAAATCAAAGACAACATGTAAAAGACATTATTGTGCTGTATTACAATCGTGCTCCAATGATAAGATGTGGTGCTAGTGACGAATCGGCGAAAACATTTATTTTAGAGTATTTCTGGGTTTCGATAGATTTGGTTTCAAAAACATATTTTTAAAAGTTTAAAAAAAAATTAATTTATTATTAAAAAGTATTAGAAAATTTTGTAAAATAATATTTTGTTTACCCTAAAAATAGGTAAAAACTCATTTTTAATGTTATTAATTCGAGTCCTTAACTTAGAATCGTCCGACCAGATCATGGTTCGTTATCATATAAAGCTTTATTTCTCAGAATTTAGATAACTATTGCTTCGTGTCATTTATGAAAGCTACCGAACACTTCAATCGGCGTTGAATAATGGTCAAAAAGGTGTTTCTGACGCATCAATGGGGTTAGTTACACGTGTGGAAAATTTACGTGTGATGGGTTATGGCTCTGCAAATATGTCATTTTTCCATTTGGTGTCACCCCCTGGGATGGTGTCACCCATTGTGGTCCGCACCCCCCACCCCTAGCTACGTCACTAATTAAAACTATAAAAAGGGTAAAAAAAAGTCATTTTTAAACGGCGTTTCTTTCTGGCCTAATTATAGGGTCACCTCATTTCTGACGCATCAACCTATAACTTTTAATAAAGCGCGCATTAATATTGGTTACAAGTGTGGAAAATTGCTGTGTGATTGGTTATCCTTTTATGAAAATCAGTTGGACCGAGCAGTGTGTGCTCTGTAAATATGCAATTTTTCAATTGGGTGTCACCCCCTGAGAGGGTGACACCCGGTGCGGTCCGCACCCCCCTAGCTACGCCACTGCATCTAAGACAATGTCGGATTAAGCGTTAAAGTCGGTAAAAATTTAAAAAAAAAAAAGAAAAAAATTTCTCTTTACCCATTTATAGGATTAACAAAATAATGTTTTGCAAAATTAATATCTTTAATAATTAAGTTTAAATAATTGTTATAAAGAAAGGTTTTTGAAACCAAATCTATCAAAACCCAGAAACACTCAAATATTAATATTTTCGTCGATTAGTCACTTCCTTGAATCTCTTCCAATAACATTTCTAAGCAGGCATTGGTCTGCTCTGGCTCTACTAACAATTGAAAGTGATACAGTGAAGGAGATTGATTTTGATCAAGTGATTGACAAGTTCACAGCTTTGAAGACCGGGAATGGAAAATTTTAACTAAAGTAAGTTTAATGTAAAAAAAACTATAACCTAATGTTATTACAGTTCATAGATACATTTATACCTTCTGACCTTTAATTAGTTTGTTTTTATTCTTGTCATTGTTATACTTGAGACTTTATTTTAACAAGAAGAAATCCATCATGGAAGTCAGTGGAAAAAGGGGGTGGGGGTGGGTTGACACCATGAGTTTACCGCACTGTGTGACACCAGCACCTGCTACGCCGCTGAATGCCAGGGAAAGAATTGGGTTCGAATTTGAAAGGCTAGGTCAGCATTTGTGCTATTAAAGAGAATATGGGAATCAAAGGAGCTGACCCTGCAAACGAAAGCCAGAATTTTCAACACAAATTTCTAAACAGTCCTACACTATGGAACCTAAATTTGGAGAAAAATAACGAGTGTATAGACCCTCACAAACGCTATGCATTAGAAAGATCATGAACATCAAATGACCAAGCATCATCATCAATAAAGACTTACTGGAAAGGACATACCAAGAGCCTATTGCCGAAGACATCATAAGGAAAGGGTGGAGGTGGATAGAACAAGCTCTTTATAAACCCCCAGATCGTATCACCAGACAATTCCTAACATGGAATCCACATAGAAAATCGAAGCGAGGATGGCCAAAGAATACACGGAGACGCGAGCTAGAGACAGACACAAAGTATGGGATGTACCTGGAAGTAACTGGAAAGTGAAAGCACAGAACCGAGATGACTGGAAAATTCTTGTGGACGGCCAATGCAACAGGCGGGGTAAGGCAATAGTAAGTAAGTAAATTAGCAAGTAATAACGCACCATCAGTAATGTTCTTGATTCTTAATCATGAGAATTTGTATAGTCATTAAAATTAACAAATATTTTGCAACGAATTACCAGAACCTATTTTTGGTTTCAATTCTTTTGTTATATCAAATAAAAATATAATTTTTGACGATAATTTATTTTGACTTCTCCCTTTCCCAATGTCAGCAATTAAAAAAAACAATTAGGTAAAAGGAAATGAGTATCCTAAAAAAAGATGCATTGTTACGCTGCATCTAAAAAAACAACAACTTTCCCGCCCCCCCCCCCCCCAATTTTGTTGACGTAATTCATGAACCAATCTCCCCTTTTACCGTATTTATAACTGTTTAATATTTATTAAAAATGTATATAATATAATTATAGGGAATGTCGTTGTATCACAAATTTCCATTTCTTGAAAGAAAGGCAGTTGTCAGTTGATCTTTATAAAAAAAAATTAGGACAATATTCTGCGACCTGAAATTAAATATTTTCTGGATATTTCACAATCAATTCGCCAAGTTTTTATAATTTTAAGAACCAATTCGCCTACACTAGTAGGATGCCTCCACTGTATATGCTTCATACATAAATATATTGTGAGCGTGGTATTGCAGAACCATAAATATTGGGGAGGTGCACTGCAATAACTTTGTCATTAAAATTAATTTCTGTTGCAAATGACACACAGGAAATGCTGATAACGCCCCCTTATGGACGAAATCGAGGTCATGCGGAAATAGCTGCTAACAACAAAGTCTCTTGGATATGTTGAATCACGAAGGAGTGATAATGATTTCACGTCTCAGATATGCAATGATTTGAACGATCACTCGAAAAATAAAGGCAAAAAAATGAGGACGGATCAAAAACTTTTTTGCCTAAAAGTTTTTTTGACGATATTTTTGAGCATTTTATGGGTAAGCTCTAAGGTCTAATAGTAAAATAATAACGTAAAAAATTACTATTATTTTGACTCAAATGAAAATGATCAAAATGGGTCCTCGATCATTTAAATTTTAAACAAGGAGCCGGATCAGTGTCCACAGCAGACACTGAGGGAAAAAGTGGGGGGGAGGGGGATCAGTGTCCGTCAGAATATAGATTATAGTTTGAAACAAAATATGTGTGAAGTCTATTCCCTCTGCTCATATCATGTCTTATTATAAGTATAAGTTATTTGTTGGTGGTAAAAAATTGAAAAACAATAACTAATAACATAAATATTTTATCATAATAATAATTATTAAATTAAATATGAATAAACTTAAGGAAGAAAAATGTATCCAACATAAACTTAATTACTTTTAGTATTCAAAGGGAACTATGTCTCATGCACTCATGAAATGATAAATTGCCTGGTTCCATATTTGTCGATCCTTTACTAAAGTCCGCCTTTACGATTAAAGACCCTTGGCAGGCTGTATTCTGGCTCAAGGGTGGTAGTTTGAAGACCCCTGACTTTGACTTACTCTTATTCTTAATACTTTGTACGAAGTATTAAACCATTAAAGAAAGACGAGGAATTTGTCGAGTGTTGTTGAAACTTCAGTCTTTGACCGATGCAGCTGATGTCTTTATATATTCAAAAGTATTGCAAAGAGAAAATAATTTATATGATTAGGCTTTTATAATAAGTAGTAATTAGCCTACTTCTTACTACTTAATTATAAACGTTTTTGAAGAAGCTCCTGGCTGGATTCTTGTTGTTAAGTGCTTAGTTAATTGGCCTACTTAAAATTTTGTTAAATCAAGTGACACAAGTGTCTTATTGCCACACTTCTGACGCTGAACCAAGATTTATTTCTTAAACTACATTTTATGTTACCCTCATGGCTTTTATCATGACATTGCCATTCATTCCCATCAGAAAGTACTGGTATTTCACTCAACTTCTTCCCTTTCTTAAACTTGGGACCCTCATATTTGTTCGCAATTAAATCAGCACCCAAGCACTAATCAACCTTACTTTTCTTTCCCTGTACATGCAAACTAAACCAAAAATCAGACTGTAAAATTAGCTTCCATCAGATTGTAAAATTAGCTTCCATCAGACTGTAAAATTAGCGTCCATTTTCCCAAATTCACCTGAAATATTACAAAATCTAGAAGTAAGTCTCACCTCTTTAGGTAAATATAGTTCATAAATGAATGCTATTTTGTTGTTGTTGTGATTTGATCATTTTTCATGTGTTATTGCCTCAGTGGAGAACCCCAGGGTACATCCCTTATCTCCCCTAATATTATTTCTATTACTATGTGTCACCAATTAGCTTGGTGCAACATCCTACCACTCTTGCCCAACCTCCCTAGATTGGGAAAGCTTGTTTATGATTTCCAGAAGGGTCTTCATAATTAGAGGTAGAATCTACTTCTTGCTGATTGAATTTCTAGACTCTCTATTATAGAAAACTGTAATTCACTATCATATGGTGGACGTACCAGACATATGAGAGATACACAAGACCTACAAGACCATATGAGACCAGCAAGTTTTTTTGTGTTTGTGTGGATTAATATTTTTTACCTTTCTACTGTTATATGGATTCACATGCTTCAAGTTGATAGAGTTTTTATTTCTATTTATTTGATTTTGTACTTTATATCAGAAGAGTTAGTATAACTAATTGTTACTTGCTATTAGCACTAGTTGGGGTATTGTTATTTCTTATTTTATTTAATCAAATGTATCGTCCCTTTGTTATTTACTGTTTGGTAAGGGGCCATTTTAAAACAACATTAAACTTGTTAAAATTACTTGTGGCACATAACATATCTTCATATTTCAAGCATTTAAAGTGTTATCTAGTTAAAAGGAAAATGTGTATAATTGATAGCAACAAATCTTGCTTACCTTAAATAGCACACTGACATCATAATATCACTGTGTGATTTTTAATGAAAATGCTTCCACACCATATGTCAACACCAAAAAGCACAATAAAGACAGCAGAATTCTCCAACCCAATATGTAGGTCTTCTCCAAACTATTCATTCATAGTGATACAAGCCTGTCTCTATATCAATATCATATGTGAATGACTTAGAAAGGGTAAAAGTAAGAATTCCAGCAATTATTTGCCTCATCATCAGGTGAACACGTCAAATATTTTATCCCAATTAATAGCCTTAATTATTTATTAAGACTTGATTATAGATTCAGATTTAAAAAAAAATATCAACCACTGATTCAGATCAATCACTGTGTTTTTAATTGTGGTCTCTAATGGCTGTGTTTATAAATAGTATATCTTTGTAGTAATGCCTAATATCATTTTGTGTTCATAGTCAGTCACACTGATAGTATATCATTTGAATAGTTTTCCTTCAAAGATTGATCACAGCACCTTTCTCTTTACACCCTGGCTTAGGTTCTCACACTGTTTTGGGTCATATTTTATATACATTTTCTTTTAGGCATGACACTAGCTAATTTTATTAATATAACATTGTAATAATTTCAATAGTATATGTACCGTTATAAGGTTTTAACAATTTAATCTGTTTTAGGATTAGCTCGTTAGAAGAACAATACATAACAAAGGACTGAAACCAGAGTACTAAGAAAACAATACCAAAGCTAGTGAAGTTTACTATAATCACTTTATTTACTCTAACAATTCTGATATCATAACTACTAAATCAAATTTATAGATATGAGAATAGGAAAAAATAGATCAACTTACAGCACTTGGAAATGCCTAGTAGTTAAAAGGTGGAAATCAGCATCCACACACAGTGAAAATATTTTTAAAAATAAATACGAAAGATGAAAAATATTATCCACAGTGCTCTGTATTGTTTGAATGGTGCAGCATTCAGTAATCAACATACAAAAATCTCTATGTAACAATGTCCATCAATATTGCTAAGGGTTCAAAATAAAATGTCTGATTACTGCACTAAATGAGGTTCTTAAAAATACAGCACATGCATTTGGTGTGAAATATTTTCTTTAATTTTACGGAAATAGTTGGTGTAATAAATCTGCCATGTAAAAGGGGGTAGGGCATTAGAATATTAATATATTTCAGCGGTGGTGGCCTACAGGGGAGTGGGGGGAAAGCACTAATTGAGAATCTCATAAAGTGCGTTACTTGAATGCATGTTTTATCAAGTAACTTAAGTGGATGGGAAGGGAAGTTCATACATTGTATCTTCCATTGTTTGGTGGGCTATAGCTAGTAACATAATTAATTATCATTTTTTCCACAGGCTGCAGGTTGGAGTAGGTTATTTTTTAAAAATGCGTGAGGAAATGAACAATTCCTAAAGCCCAAATTCTTTTTAAGAAGCATCAAATGATTTTTTTCAGTCATTTTTTTTGTTAAAAAACAAGAGATACTAATGGTTTACGTCAGCTCAAGCCTCAGTTAGTGGCTAGGGTTAGGGTTAAACTTGAAAAGATAAAGATTCTTTGTTTTTTTCTGACCATGTTTTAGTCATTCATTCTGCATCAGAAACAATCTGCTTTAAGTAAATTATATGAACAAGTTTTTAAGATGACATTTTGGTTTTATTTCCTCTATTCAGACTCTTTCAGCTTTAATTTTTCAGGTTCCATACCTATGTTTGTCTTACTATATTTGGTATGGTATACCGCTTGAATTGTTCAGTATTATTTATTACACAATATTTTGTGAAGCAACATCTGTCAATATTAGGAAACAGATTTCCTCAAATAATAAATTGATTCCTTGATGATATTGATAAACTATGTGTTATTTTATTAATAAAAATGGAGTCAGGCTATTGTTACACACATAAAAAGATCAGTTGTGTAACTATTAGAGCTGCTTATATATCTTAACACATTGTATTTGTGTGTTTTTACATTTGTTACTGATGTTTATCATACAGCATTCATTTAAATAAATCATCTCTTGTTGAAGGAATTGCCTCTTAATGGTGACATGATGGAGTTTACTTTGGTCAGACATTGACCAAGAACATGGTTACATTGTATTTGTATAGTTTAAATTATGTCAACATCCTCTAAGATCAAACCAAGAAAACGGTAGTGAAACAGGGCTGGCCACTGGCCAACTCCTGTTGGAAGATGTTTTAGTCAGTCACGTTTGTATTGACTTGGTCCAGGCCTCGGTGAACGATGACCTTTGGCTTCTTTAGTTTTTAACCATGATTATTGTCAATAAATGAATCGATAGCCAACATGCGATATAAAAATTATGGATTGTGGTGAACTCCAAACTATTAATGTTTTTAATATTCTGTTTTAAACATTTCAGTGAATGATACTTATAGCAGATAAATTAAGGTTATTTTAAAATTAACTTTTATAAATTTATGAATGTGTGGATGAGCTGCTCATACATGTTTCACCCCCTAGATATTAAATTTAAAATCCTATGTTTTCTGCTTATCTAAGGCTTAGTGATATTTGGTGTATGGTGTATGTTCCCAAACCCCAGTCTGCTGGGCACCTGTAACCCGGTGGCCCGTCAGCTCACAGGAAGGGGCCCACACGGCCTCTGTATTTACTAAAGTGTATTTAAATAATTTCGAAATTGTATCGATGCAGTGGCCCGCTTAGTTACCGGAAAAGGAGATAAGGACCTCAACTTGAAATGCTGGGAACCACTGGTTTAAGTGACCTAATTAAATCATGAAAGACTTAGAGATATTTCTCTTAATATGTTGTTTATGTTGATTAACATACATAGTGAAAAATGACAGTCCATTTCTCTTAGTATGTTGGTCATATGTTTTTAGACAGAATAATTTCTTAACTTTTAGGAGAGTTGTAGTGTAGCTAAAATCTGTTGGACCATAGGCTGTCATGTTAGTACTAATGTCTAGATGACATCTCTAGAGGCTGTCATGTTAGTACTTATGTGTAGATGACATCTCTAGAGGTTGTCATGTTAGTACTAATGTGTTGATGACATCTCTAGAGGCTGTCATGTTAGTACTTATGTGTTGATGACATCTCTAGAGGCTGTCATGTTAGTACTAATGTGTTGATGACATCTCTAGAGGCTGTCATGTTAGTACTAATGCCTAGATGTCATCTCAGTATTCTGTCATCATAATAATAATCGACTTTTGACTTGACCCTAGATTAGTGTTCTTATTCATCAGGTTTTATCCAATACAAGTAGAGTAGTGACAAGGTTAGCAAGGAAAACATTGATATTAGAAGCTGTGATCCAGATCAAACTATACATCTCTTCTACAGCACCCTTCTGTTGTCTAACGCCACTCCTTTGTAGTGTTCAAATTCCAAAGTATTCAGTTCCAGACAAGTCCACGGTTCTCTGACTGTCCACTTTCTGGCATCTTTCAAGACATGAGTCCGGTCTTTATAAAAAAAAAAAGTTTTATTTATTCACCAGCTTTATGAGCCTAAGGATCCATATGAATTTTTGGTTTCCTTAACTCAACAGTGCTGCTACAACCCCATGACTGTTGACACTATTGTTTTTAAAATTTCCATAACTTGACACCCCCCCCCCTTCCCCCCAGTTCCACTTGTTCTGTCAGACATTTTACCCCAGCCTTAAAAAAAAAAGTTTTATTTATTCACCAGCTTTATGAGCCTAAGGATCCATATGAATTTTTTGTTTCCTTAACTCAACAGTGCTGCTACAACCCCATGACTGTTGACACTATTGTTTTTAAAATTTCCATAACTTGACACCCCCCCCCCCTTCCCCCCAGTTCAACTTGTTCTGTCAGACATTTTACCCCAGCCTTTGCTTTGTTCACTGAGGAGACAATTTAAAAAAAAAACACCAAGCAATCTTCCCTTCTTTTTTCTACTCTCACCCCCCAAACTTTCTATTTATAACAAATTTAAACTTGAGCAGAAAAAAAATAAATCTAGGTTAAGGTGCCCTGCCTTGGGAAGCTGACTCAACAGCCCCCCCTCTCCCCTATCTGAGGAGGGGCAGAGAGGGGTGGGAGTGAGGAAGGGGCTTCAAGAACATGGCAGGACCCTGAGAATGACAGCACTTCCCTCAAACAAAAAATATTTTTTTTATTCTTTAGAATAAATTGACTCTGGTCCCTGGCCTCCATGACATAGACTGAAAATAAACAAATAAAATAAAGACAATCTTGATGAGTGGTTGTTTGTGTTACACAAGGAAAAGTAGATTAACTGGATGAAACTGAAATGTAGGTGGATGAAGCTGAACTGTCGGTGGATGAAACTGAAATGTAGATGGATGAAACTGAAATGTAGATTGGATGAAACTGAACTGTCTGTGGATGAAACTGAAATGTACATGGATGAAACTGAAATGTAGATGGATGAAACTGAAATGTAGATGGATGAAACTGAACTGTAGATGGATGAAACTGAACTGTAGGTGGATGAAACTGAACTGTAGGTGGATGAAACTGAACTGTTGGTGGATGAAACTGAACTGTAGGTGGATGAAACTGAACTGTAGGTGGATGAAACTGAATTGTAGGTGGATGAAACTGAACTGTCGGTGGATGAAACTGAACTGTAGGTGGATGAAACTAAATTGTACATGGATGAAACTGAACTGAAGGTGGATGAAACTGAACTGTAGGTGGAGGAAACTGAACTGAAGTGGGTGATGGATGAAACTGAAATGTAGATGGATGAAACTGAACTGTAGATGGATGAAACTGAACTGTAGGTGGATGAAACTGAACTGTAGGTGGATGAAACTGAACTGTAGGTGGATGAAACTGAACTGTAGGTGGATGAAACTGAACTGTAGGTGGATGAAACTGAATTTTAGGTGGATGAAACTGAACTGTCGGTGGATGAAACTGAACTGTAGGTGGATGAAACTAAATTGTACATGGATGAAACTGAACTGAACGTGGATGAAACTGAACTGTAGGTGGATGAAACTGAACTGTAGGTGGATGAAACTGAACTGTAGGTGGATGAAAGTGAACTGAACTGGATGAAGCTGAACTGTAGATGGATGAAACTGAACTGTACATGGATGAAACTGAAATGTAGATGGATGAAACTGAAATGTAGATGGATGAAACTGAAATGTAGATGGATGAAACTGAACTGTAGATGGATGGAACTAAATTGTACATGGATGAAACTGAACTGTAGGTGGATGAAACTGAACTGTAGGTGGATGAAAGTGAACTGAACTGGATGAAGCTGAACTGTAGATGGATGAAACTGAATTGTACATGGATGAAACTGAACTGTAGGTGGATGAAACTGAATTGTACATGGATGAAACTGAACTGTAGGTGGATGAAACTGAACTGTAGGTGGATGAAACTGAAATGTAGCACAGAAAGGAACTGTGGGTTAAGGACATGTTGAACATAGAACTGATTGTTTGAAGGGATTATCTTGTTTGATAACCAGGGGAGGTCTCATTTGAGATACCATTCTCAGTAGGGAGTTGTCAAACTATATAACTTGATATTTTATTGATGCTTAAAAAAAATCAGAATGTTAAAATGTTCTTACATATTTTAATACATTGTTTACTCAATCATTAAGCACTCTATATTAAGGTCTAATAATAAATATTTGGTCAAATCATTTTGCCATTATTATTCCAAAATCTATGTTGTTTTTCTCACAGCTAATTGGTGCAGCTATTTTTGGTGTACTTCTGTGGTTGCGTCTGGATTTTTGGACCAATGAATACTTGGAGCTGGACTCCAGTTTTAGCCGTTACCTCAACCTCATTTATATAGCACTGGCAGCAGGAGCGGTCATTGTTGCATTTTCCATCAGTGGTCTCATTGGGGGCTGCATTAAAAAGAAATGGCTGCTTGTCTTGGTGAGTATATAGATATACCACATGGCACTTACCCATAAAAATAATAGCTAGTGATTTGACAGAATAAATTATTTGAGTGGCTTTTATGATGTTTACTGTTAGGAAGGTAATAAAACCCTCCACTAGACCACTCGGGTAAACTCTTTATTACCATTGTTAGCATTAATCCTCCCAGTCTGTATGCAGAATACACTGCCAAGAGAAATTGTTTGACAAGCTACTTCTACCAAGGAATTTGAATGCCCTCTTCATGCTATTGGTTCTCAAATGAATACAAGCGACATGCAGGGCACAGACTATGACTTTGTTTGATAAGTTCATTGCTGTGCTTCAGCTGCTTCACAACAGTTGGAAAGAACAAAAATGATGGTGAACTCTCAGATGATTTCCTTGTGGTCAAGCAGGCGGTGTATACCTACTGGCATGCTGTTTGAAAATTTACAGAGTCTGGCTAAAAAATGCAATGTGGGACCCATTGGAATGGATACAAATATATTAAGGGTTGAATCTCTAAAGTCTGCCAACCCAAACCAATATTGATTTGGTGTTGATCAGGGAACTCCTCTTTGCAGATGACTTTGTTGTTGTGCCAGACACGCACAAAGTGCTTCAGATTTTGATGAACCTCTTTTTCCCAGGCATCAAACCATCAATTAAAAAGGATTTCCAGGAGCAAAAATCTCTGCAAGGTACTAGCACAGCCCCTACATCAACAACAAAGGTCACCCATACGGTTTATCAGTTAACATACTAGGGCACAATACTGGAGCTCCTATGGAATGTCACAAAGTCCGGCTCAAGCATTAGCTGGTATATAAAATTGCTTGCAGCTGACTCGTACACTTGAGATTTTAACATCTGTCCTGCTGACTTTCAAGACTCATTGGCCAGAAGCAGAGGAGGTCAAAGGCAGTCCACAAAACATGACTTCTAAACACACACCAGTGGAAGATGGCTTTGGCTCTCCCAAGAGTGCTCAAATCCTGAATCAGACTTCATAACCATCTAGGGCATGCAATGGCCATCTAATGGTCTTTGGAAACAAAGTCAAAGCCATTATTCCATGCACCACGCTGCCCCTAGTGTAAAAATACTGATTATATAGAAAGAAAATTATCCAGAAGTTAAGCATTGTCCTGAATGTAACAGAACTTATTATTTTATGTACACGTATCTATTAAGTAGCTGGTGAAGAAGGTTTTAACATTTCCAGATTAAGATTTCCAGTTCTGAGTCACTGTTGAATTAACACTGGCCTGAAGCACGTTGTCGCCACACATTATCACAACTTAAACTAACTCTGTTTACTGTGCCACTGGCAAATTCATGTTAATGACCTATTGAAAATGACCAAAACATCTTCCCATCTTTTGCTTCTTACTTTCAGTATCTGACAGCTCTGGCGGCAGCGATGTGCTTAACTATAGGTGCCGTGGTATACGGGGCGGTCTACAGAGATGAGGTATTGTTTATTTCTTTTATAGTGGTTTTTTAACTGATTAACTACCACATTGAAAAACCCGCTGTGGCCGAATTAAATCTAGGTCACATTTTCTCATTTTAGGTGTATGTACAAATTCAGCTGCAGTTTTCTTAATTACTAGCATGAACCTGGCATGCGTTGCCAAACCCACTTATGATGTCACATACAAACTGAAATTTGTGTTAGTTTAAATTTCATCCACCCACCCATGCAATAGCTCTGTTTGAAATTATATTTATGTAGCTCATATAAGAAAAAAGGTTGTTTTGATTGTCCATTTTATTTTTGTTTACAAACATATTTCATGTGGTGATTGATCTAATAAAGGTGGAAAATATTACTCTGATGATGATTCAGACAGTGATTTTATGATTTCAAATGCAGAGGCTGATTCTGTTGAATCATATGATTATAATCCTAGTACTAGGATTAGTAGTACTAGTGACAAAATAATGAAATTGGTAATTCATCAGCTGATGAACAACCAGCCCCGCCCCCCAGCTAAAGGGCACATCCACATGGATTGTTTTTTAGGCTTACTATAGCTAAACCCAGGTGGAAATATGTGACTAATTTATGGTAAATTTTCCATTTACTATTATAAATGTTAGTACATACAAGAATAAAGTGCAATTATTTTTTAAATAGCAACAGATTGTTTCCAGTGGAATTAGTTAAATTTTTTTGCTAATTTTTTGTGTGGCGGTGACAATCGATAATGTGCTCTGAGGTTGAATTTTTTCTTTTTTTGAAAGTTGATCTTTATTATTTGTGATGCACATATGGATATAGTTCAGAAAAAATACATTTTTTTATACTTTGGATTATATATTTCTCTTCTTGTGACTTCGAATGAGCGTTTTGTGAACATTTGGTGAGTTTTTTAAATAAATTTTTGTTTTCCTTAAATCACAATCACATTTATTTATTAAAATTTAAACCAAAATCTTGTTTGCTTGCAAAGAGCATGCATTTCCCTTTAATTCCATACCAAAATTAACATTTTCTGATTAAAAACAGAAAAGTTATGAAGGCTTAGAGAAAACATAGTAGTGCGTAACAAAAACCCAAAATAGATAATTCCGTCAGAACGTGGAAAATAATTCCGGTGGTAAAGGGTTAAATATCCATGTAAAAATGTGCACACCTATTTTCTACTTCCGATATATATGTACCAAGAAGGTTAATTATTTATCAAATTCATTCTGAGGCCAATTTTCTGCTCATGTTTAGAACAAATTAATCTTAATTTATTTCGCAGTATTAACAACGCACTAAGAACATCTGGTCTTTGGCTTTTCCCGATAAATGTGTTTACGGTGTACATCTTTGATCATAATTTTTAAATTTTTTCATAACTTTAAAACACATATAAAATGCTTAAAATAGTTCCTTAGTTGATACTTAAAATGTAATTGTAATTTATAATAATAATACCGGTACTTCAACTTTTACTAAAATAAAAGCGGATATATAATAATATAATATTTTTTTGCGCATTTAAATTTATTTGATTTCCGTAAAATAATAGAAAATAACTATGATTGTTTTTAAGGATACGAAATCCAAACGTATCTAAATATTTTCAGTTTTTTATCGTTATGTCATCATAGTTCATTCTTATATATATAAACATATTCTAATGATTAACAAACTATTTTGTAGGTAATTGAATTGTCTATAAGATAAACTTAAAACATTTGTAAAGTTAACTTTTGTTAGGAAATTATTAATTGTTAAATTAGTATTTACAACAGAAAAATAATAAACAAATATGTAAATGTGCCAACTTACGTAAAAAAATTTAAATTTCCAAATTATTTAAAGTCTTTTATTTGGTTGTTTCCAAATAGTATATCCAATAATAAGAAAAATGCACCAAAGAACACAGAAATCGAATAATATTTACACTTCCAATCACTTATACACCTTTATTAACACTGTCACTTATTGCCATAGTAAAGAAGTAGTACAATTTTGTAACTAGCTTAGAAAATAAATAAAAAATAATTAACAGCTGGTTTTTTAAAATGTTCTACCGATGCGGTTCGAATATAAACATCCTGTGGGTAAATTAAAATCTGGAAGCAAAACGGTAATTGAATTAGACAAATATTTGAATGGATTTACAACGATTAGAAACATTGCCGCTACCAGCGGCTCGTTGCCATAATGAAAGAAACGTCAAGCCGCTACCAGTGGCGCATGGTAGTTAACCAGTTAACAAGCTCAAGTGTGTTGTAAGTGCTTTCTTGACTATGGAATATTATATTTTTTCAATCAAGCTTTTCTAGAATATTAAAAATTTTGTGCAATGAATTTATAGAATAAGGGATCTATCATTGTAAACAAGTAACCTCAGCAGTTCCTGGTCAGTAAGATGTACTTTAAACATTAACCCACTCCTGATTCTGTTTCTGCCAAGTTTTCTTCTATTCATTCTAGAACCTTTGCTAGAAAAAAACCCTGCTCGTAACACAATCAGATTTATGGTCTCCGATTATTGCATTGTATCGGGGTTCCACTGTGCTTTTTTTTTTTTTTTTTTTTTTTTTTTTTTTTTTTTTTTTTTTTTAAAAAAAAAAAAAAAAAAAAAAAAAAAAAAAAAAAAAAAAATTTTTTTTTTTTTTTTTTTTTTTTTTTTTTTTTTTTTTTTTGAAGATTGTCTTAAATAATTTATTTGGTTTCCCCAGTTGGAGAGAACCCTAGTTAAAGGTGAACTCCTAAAGAATCTGATAAGAACCAGATATAACAATGACTATTCAAAGCGAATAAACAGAGCTGTGGATATCATGCAGTCAGAGGTCAGAATTAAGTATTTATTATGGTAACAGAAAACTTCAACATGTTTAAGTAAAATGTGTTTGTGATTGTAAGTGGTATTCTTTTTGTTTGAGGCTCCTTGCGACTCTTGCTGTTCTTCTAACCTTATCAATGTTTGATTTTTTTTACTTTTGAAACATAAGTTGTAGTGGTATATTTTATTTGTCAGCATACAATAATACTCCCTTGAGTTTTCGTTTGATATATAAATAACATTTTCCAAGTACCGTAAAGTGTTTTGTAAAGCTGTGTCTGAATAAGGCATTTTATCAATTTATTTAATTTTTTTTTGTCTCAGGAATTAATGTCCAGAAAATGTGTTCAATCTAAATATCCTTACTACAATTGTTTCAATCATAAATAGGTAAAGCATTGCAGTGTGTGCTATTCCTATAGCTGAGAATGAAGCCCTAGGCTAAAGTATCATGTTCTGTCAACATTGGAACTAATCTTTTGATAAAAAATTGTATATTCATCAGTTGGAATGCTGCGGGGCCAATCATCCTTTGGATTATCATCAGTCCACGTGGCAGTCTCTAATTAAAAATCCGTTGTCCGAACCCAACTTCTATGTGCCACCTTCTTGTTGTAAGAACTACCTGAGGTACGAAGAGGCTGCCCAGAACTGCCAGATGTACTTGCCGCAGACAGACAAGCAGGTGTCTCCTGACATTTGGACTACAGTGAGTTACCCTCTCATGGTTTACCATCTCTCTTTGTCGGGCAGGGGGCTGCTGGGAGTACATTACGATACACAGGCTGTCCTTTTTTTGGTTTATTTTGTAGGAATTTTTTTTTTCTTTATAAATTGAGGTCAGAAGGTTCTGATTGCTCTATGCAAACAGTAGTGTAAGGTGGCCAGCCAACCTGATTCACTAACACCACTTGTCCATGGATCCTTCTTTACTTTCCCTAATGCTTTCATACTTTCTGTAGACTTTTTCTTTGGCAATTTGAGAACCTACATCAACTACTCTGATCTCTAAATCTCTAAACCCCCCCTCCCCCCCCCCCTCTCTCTCTCTCTCTCTGTCCCTAAAGTAGTTTCAGATGTAACAAAACATTTTACACTAGTCTTCAACAAACACCTGTCAATTTTCTTTACTTTCCTTTATGCTTTCAGACTTTCTGTTGACTTTTTCTTTGGCAATTTGAGAACCTACATCATCTACTCTGGTCTCTAAATCTCTAACCCCCCCCTCCCCCCCCCCCTCTCTCTCTCTCTCTCTGTCCCTAAAGTAGTTTCAGATGTAACAAAACATTTTACACTAGTCTTCAACAAACACCTGTCAATGCAATTTAAAACTGTCAACAGTTTAATGAACGGATAATGCAAACTGTTAAAAGCCATGTACTGATAAATTGCTGAATAGTCTGTACAGAGAGCTTTTAGCAATTTATCAGTACGGGGTAAAAATGTTTTCTCTGATTTTGGGGACTTGTTTCAAATTCAAAATTTGGAGGTGTTAAATCTCCTTAATTCAAAATAATGTAAAAAGTCTTTATTGAAAAAAGGAAGTATACTACCCTTTGCTTTTAAAATTTATCTCACAGAATTTCCTCTCATTTGTATGTAATCTGCGAATAAAACTTTTGTTTAAATTAATCGTCACTGGCAGTTGATGATAAACATTTCAGAAAAATATTGCCAGGTACCTTGTTACGAGAACTGATAATATTTTTTCATTTTCAGGGTTGCCAGATAGGTCTCCAAGAATTTCTTGACAAATACGTGGTCGTGGTGATCAGCATAACAGCGGTTTACTTTGTTTTACAGGTCGGTTATGTAACTTATTTAAAAATAGTTCACTGGGTGCACAAGTGAATGTGGTAAAAGAACTTGATTGCTCCTGGATTGAGATATATATGTGAACATATAGGTGGTCAAAAAACTTCGTTGCTCCTGGATTGAGATATATGTGAACATACAGGTGGTCAAGGATTACATTGTTCTTGTACCTATGATTGGTAAATAGTGGAACTAGGTATGTGGCAGCTGGAAATAGAAAGACAGGACAGTAAAAGAAGAACGATTTTGGCATAGAGCCTTCCTCAACAGACAGGACAAATAGAAAGTATTAAAAAAACTTTTAAGTTCTTCATATTCATGTTATTGTCGGAACATGACCATGGCAAACCCGCAAGTTTTTTAAAATACTCTCTATTTCTTGTTATTTCTTCATTTGTCCTGTCTTTCTATTTCAAGCTTCCACATACCTTGTTCTTCTATTTCCTTCACGCATCTTGAACGCAGTCCTTCAATTATCAATATTTACTTATGATAGGTAACCAAATTAAAATAGGCCAATTTAATTTTCTTTGTTGTTTTAATTCACAGGTGATCTGCATGGTAATAGCATCCTATCTAGTCCATATGCTCAACTCTCTGTATGTTCCACAACCTGATGACATAGTCTACGACATGGCACATATGCAAGAGAAATCACCCTACCCATCAAGGGGAGATTACAGAGACTACTATAACTAAGGGAGCAAACCTGTCTGTACCGCAACCATTTCCATTGTGACTTACAAGCATATTTGGAGAAGACTGAAACAGCGATCGAGTTGATAGTTGATAATGTGGTGTATGTTGAATTCTGACGGAGGTTACAGTTAAATCATACAAATAATTTGTTCTTCATGTTTGATGTACAAGCTGAATTAGAATTGAGATCAGTGCAGCATTTTCTTTTAAAATATTTTTAAAAACATGAGGAAGTTGGTAATGAAGATATGGCTTGTTGAGTAAGCAGGAAAAAATACTTGAGAAGATCAGGAGTGTGAAATATCTCTTCTCCTAATGATACAGAAGGTTACTGTTTGATGTCCATCAAGTTTTAACTAGGAATTTGTGCGTGTTTGAGGCACATAGTATTCATGGACTGCTTGATGAAGTCTAGGCAGCTCCTTTACTTACAGATCTCTTTGTCTTCTTATCATACTTTGTTCATCCACCATCAGCACCAGAACTATCTTTTTTTTTAAAATTTGTTTGTTCTTTTTGTTAAGATTTAGATCTGATAATACTCAACAAAACAACTAATTCATGAATGAAAATTGATCTTTGAATACAACCAGTTACACCTGTTTCGTGAATGGGCTCAAGGCTGGACGACCAGATGAGTTCACATGATGTTCTTTGAACTCAGGTTTACTTCGCAAAGATAAGCGTCTGTCAAACATCCCAGGGTGCTCCTGTGTCTTCAAACATACACTCCATGACAAGCTCTTCTTTCAAACAAAGGAACAGCTCCAAGACTCAATATGAACTAAAAAAGAAAAAAGGTTATCCAAAACTAATCCAAATTATTTTGTTAGTTCAAGTTTCTGGATATTTAAAAAAACAAAAAAACTTAAAACCTGGAATATTATTTGTAAAACACATTTAGATTTAAGCTGTGTCGAATTCTTCTTGGGGAACAGTAATTGTTAAAACTAGCGGCTCCTTACCAGCTGTAAAGTCACCAATCAACATGTCATCTGCAGTACCTGAGTCACCAGTCAACATTTCAAGTGCAGTACCTGACTGAGCAGAATGGAAACAATCCAAACGTTCAATTCTACATATTGTAAACTTTATTTTTTTGTGCATGTATAAATATTGGTCTGACTTAACAAACAAAAATGTGTAAGCTTTAAATGTTTTTATAAAAGTTTTTTTAGTGCAATATTTCACATGAACTTGCTGTACTCTTTGGAACATGTTGTAAGACACATTTCATGTAAGGAGGTGGGGAGGAAAGGGAAGATATATTATCATAATGAATGCTCAAAAAATTAACATGTAATGCTCTTTTTTTTCTTCTTTTTTTCTCAACTGAGCTTTGTTGTTGAAGAATGATCTGATCATCTGAAATGAAACAAGTTAAGATATTCTCACATAATACACTCATCAAGCCACTGAGAATTTAATAATTTAATTCATTATTTAATATAGCCGTCTCATCGGCAAACAAGACTTCAACATATTTTTTATAATTGCCGCAGTCTAAAATTAGTTGTTTCATGTGTATTTAATACTTCAAAGTTAAAACCGAACTGTTATTATTACAATGCCCCCCACTTCCCTCTCTGAAAAAAACCAACATTTTTTTTTCACCTTCAATCTTTTAAACAATACTAACTGACTTATTTGGCTCCTTGGAAGATGGTGATCACTCATTTATATCAATTTAATTTGTTCAACAGTCAGATCATAATTGACAATAAAACTCATCTATTTTATGGGTGAATCAACCACCAAGAAAGAAATATCTTTTTTATTCAGCATTCTTTATAATTCCCTTTCCAGAATTGTACTTTTTTGTGTAAAAATCTTTAATTATTCAAAAAACAGTTCAATTTTTTACTATTTCCTGAGACAATTTATAAAAAGGCCAGTCTCATTGTTTAAAATCTTGTAAGTAATTAAATTTATGTTGTGTGAGGCTGTTAATGATTCTTTAAGAATTCATTATGACCTGACAACCAAATGATGTGGCTTTTTTAAAATAGAGTACCATTTTAATTTTTTTTAAATTAAAAAAAAATTTATTTGTAGATTCATGTACATTCAATGTTCATCGATTTAAAGAGAATGATGTACAGGATATTACCATTGCTAACATTAAAGTAGCTGAATTTGTACTAACAGTCTTATTTTTCATTTCATGTACATTGCATTTTGAAATCATCCGTGAAAGGTAAATGTCATTTTTATACTCTAAAATTCAAATGATGTGTTTTTTTTTTAAGGCGGTGGATATTTTTGTCATTGCCATTAACAATGCCACCAGTCAGTGTAAATTGTCACTATGGTTCTAACGACTTTTCTGCTTTGTCTTCATATTCCTTTTTATTTGAATACGCTCTTCATTATTGTCAACTGCAACCACATAATCATTTTTTAAAACAGAAAAATTAAAGGTGTCATAGAGTAAATTAACACTTGCTCAAACTATTTCTAGGTATTGTTATAGTTCATTCATGACAATGCTGTGGTGGCAGAGTGTCTCTTTGTTGTCTAATGAGCAGTGTTGTTTTTTTATACTGGTCAATCTTTGAAGAAATTTGACACGCATTGCTTTTTTGTTTTTTCTAAATTTAAAAAAAAGGTCGGTGTAGGTTTCACCTTGTTGTGCTTTTATTTGTTTGTTGTTTTAATGAATATTCTGTTGTTTTTTTTTTTTTTGTGTGTGTAGTTGTTTGAATATTTCAAAACATACTCTATAGTTGTATAATATCTACATTTTTTTTAATTAATTTAATTTTTAAAAATTTATATTTGACAAGGCCAAGGTTTTGGCAGTTTTAACAATTTAAAAAAAAAAATTTTTTTTAAGGTCGGTGTAGGTTTCACCTTGTTGTGCTTTTATTTGTTTGTTGTTTTAATGAATATTCTGTTGTTTTTTTTTTTGTGTGTGTAGTTGTTTGAATATTTCAAAACATACTCTATAGTTGTATAATATCTACATATTTTGTAATTAATTTAATTTTTAAAAATATATATTTGACAAGGCCAAGGTTTTGGCAGTTTGAACCATTTAAAAAAAAAAATTTTTTTAATGTCAACCTATCAAGAGCTGTTCTTCTGGGCTTTTATTTTTTCGATCACACTATTATCACTACATCCTTCCTTACATTGTTGGTTAGGAAGTCTTTAACTTGGAGTTCACAGTCTGTGGGCGTTTCTGGGGTTGGATTGCTATCAAAATATCAGCCGTATAGTTTCTATGATTTTAAGGGTAATTTAAAAAAATGAGTTGTTTGTGTGTGCATCAACAGTTGACGGTCTGCAGCTAAATCAGCGCTCAGTAAACTCAACTAAATGTTAAACAAGTTAGAAAAAAAGAAGTGGGAGAGTCAATATCCTATTTTTAAAAGTGTATTTTAATCAGAAATGACTTTGAACATATTTTTCTAATGGGTTTTAAAAAAAAAACGAAATACAATAAATGTATGCAAAATTGATTTCATTGTTTTTATTGTGTTTTTGTGTAACAGGAAATTGTGGGAAGAAGATGCTCTCTGTTGCTTTGTCTACTTGGAGGAGAATTCTTTGATCTCTCAGCATCCTGTGAGCACGTACAGTGCTTTGCTTGCTGTCATCTGACACTTGCTTGCTGTCTAGTGGCGCTTGCTGGCTGTCATGTGGAACTTGCTCGCTGTCATCTGGCACTTGCTACCTGTCTACTTGTACTTGCTTGCATTCCTCTGACACTTTCCTTGCTGTCTTCTGGCACTTGATTGCTGTTAACTTGTACTTACTTGCTGTCATCTTAACACTTTGCTTGCTGTTACCTGGCACTTGCTCACTGTCAACTTGTACTTGCTCACTGACATCTGGCAAATGAAATTTGATAGAAAAGAGCGCAAGTATCATTTACAGTTGATGGCTTCAAACAATTGACAAATAGCTGTGTTGCCAGGCAATGTGCCCTCTCATTTTGCTGTATGCCAATAAATTTTGTGTGTATATTTTATAAGAATCATGCACATTTTTTGTGTGCTTTACAATGAAGTGAAAATCTAGCGATCGGAATATCATTCACCATGAATAGATGTGCACATTAAAACTGAGTGCACCACTTTGATGTATGCAATCTTGATTAATTTAATTTAGCTTGTTGAAGTATAATAATATAAATTTTGTTTTTTAAATTTACAAGGTTGAATAATGGGAATATAAAGTGATTTCAAAATAGTAGTCATTAAGAACTATGTTTTAGATAGTGTCAGGGTGCAGAATGGACGTGTGCTCAGTCCTTAAAGTTCATGTGTGCACGCACACAATGACACCTTGGATGTCACATTTTTGCCAGGCTATTATTATTTTGAGAACCTCTCAGTAAGCCAAGATACCAGATGATTGGCCACAGGGTGAGACCCTGACCAGGTATAATCTAGAGCGGTCAAGTACAAATATTTAAAGGAATTTAATAGAGCAACTGATGAATGGTGGAATTGGCTAAAAATCCTGGCTTTTTCTGACCGGCTTTTGTTGTGTAAAGACTATAAATAGTGGTTAAAGCTAAAATTAATTAAGTTAAATTTCACAGATTTTTTCTTTAACAAGTTTGGTTGGTGCTCATCACTCACTGCATGACGGTTGGTAGCTGAGAGTTAGAGTCACCCAAGAATCATAAAACTCAAGATTATGACAGACATTGAGATTTGTCTCCCCATTCTACTAATACGTAGTATGATCAAGGAACCACAAGAACTTGTGAATTTCTTTAACATATCAAGTTAATAACTTAACTGCAAACCAAGTTTCTAATCCTGACCTGACCATCTGAACTGAACCGACCATCTGAACTGACCTGACAATCTGATCTGAACTTAACTGTTCATCTGAACTGACCTGTTCATCTGAACTGACCCGACCATCTGAACTGAACCGACCATCTGAATTGACTTGACCATCTGATCTGAACCGACCATTTACATGTAATTCCTATGTTTTCTAATGCCAAAACTTTGCTTGCTGTCCATTAAGAATTTTGTTTTGTTAGAATCTATTTGTTGTTGTTGTTGTTGTTGTTTATTTTAATTTCTGTCAACTTTCATCATTTATCTTTTCACTGTTTTTATCAACTGTACACTTCGCTTTTATCATTTATAACCTCTGTTTATATTATTTATATTCTATCGACTTTAGCAGAGTATCATCCCTCGACATGATTCTCTATGGTTTCTCTACCACTGCAACTAAAGTCCCACAAACTATGTCATATTTTTTATACTTTATTGTCATCGACTGGGATTTTTTTGTGTGTGTGCGCATTTTAATTCATTCAGCGAATTTTAATTTATTGATATTTTTGGAATTGTTCACAAAACTATTTTTAGTTTGCTATCAGTTTTGACTTTCCGTTTATAATAAAATGTATTTTGTGCGGTAGTTCCTTGTATAGGGAGGATGTGTTTACAATTTTTGTTTGCTTCTTTCTCTCCTTGCTCATAAGAAATAATCTTATCTCACTATGGCCTGCTAGTGATACATCATCGTTTCACTATGGCCTGCTAGTGATACATCATCATCTCACTAAATGTTACAGAAAGTAACTGACTTGAAGCGGCCAATTTTCAGGGCTCTACCACTCAACTACCAGGACATTTTAACATGCTGATTAAAATCAAGTAACATCATTTAACTGAATTTTGTACATTTGTATTATTATAGAGCAGCGGTTCTCTCAACCTGTGGGTCGCGACCCCTTTGGGGGTCGAACGACCCTTTCCCAAGGGTCGCCTAAGACCATCAGAAAACACATATACTGTACAGTTATGAAATAGCAATGAAAATAATTTTGTGGTTGGGAGGTCGCCACAACATGAGGAACTGTATTAAAGGGTCGCTGCATTAGGAAGGTTGAGAACCACTGTTATAGAGTCTTTGTCAGTGCTTTCTTACTTGTGAGTCAAAAAAAAACAACAAAAGACTGGTCAGTCTTGGCTTATACCTTTATTCATTGAATGGTACCCTAATGCATTCAGTTCAGGCGTTCACCGATACTTCAAAGTAAGATTAATACTTGGTCCCACTCCTGTATCTATGACATTATGGGATGCTGCTATTTTAGAAGAGGCGCTAAGATCTCTCAGTATGTCAGCTAAGTATTTCACTAAGCGAGTAAATTCTTCAATAACGTCTGTCATCAGAACTACATTTGATTTCAAATTTTACTGTTAAACATATATTCCCCTGTTAATAGTTTAGAGGGTATTTCATAGTTATATATTACACTAGGATTAAAAGGTTAGAAGGTGTAGGGATTATAATATATATATATAAAAATAACTCTTTGTTGTCAATGTAATTTTAATTTTTTTTAAATTTTGTCAATAAATTTCAAAGTAAAGATCAAGTTCTCAAGTGTTATTTTTCAAGTAAACTGTCTTTTTTAAATGTATAAATATATAAGCATAGTTTATATAATTTTTCAGACAGCTATCATAAACTGTTGTTGCTCCTGACAGGGAACAAACTCAAAGACCTGCCATGAATTCATAGATCGAAGTAACACAATATTGGGTTAGTTTCAACTCTTGATAAAATAAAACTCAAATGGCCCCTTGGTCTACCAGCTGTGGACCACCAGGCACAGCCCACCAGGTTTGATGCAGCATCAATGGTGCACCAGCCATTGTCCTCCCAGCTTAGTTTGACAACTATTGTCCACCAGGTGTGGCCCACCAGCTGTGGTCCTCAATCCCTAGACCACCAGCTGTGGTCCACCATCCTTAATCCACCAGCTGTGGTACACCATCCTTAGTCCACCAGCTGTGGCCCACCATCCTTATTCCACCAGCTGTGGTCCACCATCCTTAGACCACCAGCTGAACAACAGTCGTAGCATAACAAAGATAGCAGCCCCATTTACCGGAGTTCAGACGTTACACAAGGAGCTGCCCGCTGCGTGACAGGGGAACACAAACACTGAATAATAGTCGCTTCCCACTTATAGAAAAAATCAATCAACATATTTGTTATTGCAAAGTACGTAATTTCTATGTTTCGTTATTTCAAGGTTTCACTATACTCAAAGCACTATAGATATATATATATATTTATAGGTAATGTCTATTTGTAGTGCGGCACGCAAATGCAAAGTCCGCCCTTAGCGGCACAATGTCTTTTTACTCCGCTGGCTACGCCACTGACTTAAGGCCTTACTTTATCGTAGGGATACTTGGATACAATTTTAACCGGTTATTTTCACACTCGATCTTTGCGCGGCAAACCGGGAAAACCCCCATTGAGCAGAATGGGCATCGCACGTCTGTGTAGAGTAACTCCAGGTTGCAACAAGTTGGCAGGTAAGGTTGTGCCATTGTCCATACAACAAAAAAATAAAATAAGTTATTATTAAACACAATTTTTTCTTCATTTTCTTCTTCTATATCTTGAGGGCCCACGATCGATGCATGAATCCTTCTGGCTCTTATTTATGTAGAGGGGGGCTCCAGATGTTTCCGTGCCTGGTTCCGATCATATCTAACTAATCGGGTCCAGTCAGTTATTTCAAACGGCTTGACCTCGAAGAAATCTAATCTCGAATTCGGAGTACCCCAAGGCTCGGTCCTAGGCCCGATGCTTTTCACGATGTACATTCAGCCCCTGGGTGCAGAGATCAGGCAGTTTGACATGTTGTATCACATGTTCGCGGACGATACACAACTTCATCAATCCGTGATCACTTCTCAGTTCCCTCAGCTGCTCAGTATTACACAGAAGACAATGGAGTCGGTAAAGCACTGGATGACCATTAACAAGCTCAAATTAAATGATGATAAGACTGAGCTGCTCCCCATTGCGACCGCTCAGAAGCAGAAATCTGCAAATAACACGACATCCATTACTCTCTCAGGTGTGCGTATTGAGTTAGCTCAAACAGTGCGGTACCTGGGTGTCTACCTAGATAGAAGACTAACTTTTGAAAGTCATATTAACATGCTATGCAGGGCGATTTTTCTGGAGCTGCGCAGGATTAGTCAAATCAGGCCCTTCCTAACAATTGATACAACAAAGAGGCTGATGTCTGCATTTGTGCTATCACGCATGGACTATTGCAATGCTCTCATGGTGGGTCTTCCAGCTACGCTCCTGGATAAAATTCAAATAGCACAGAATAATGCGGCTCGCATAGTTCTCCGCAAACGCAAATTCGACCATGCAAAAACACTTCTGAGAGAGTAGCATTGGCTGCCGGTGCGTGCTCGCATAGAGTACAAAATCGCAACTTTGTGCTACCGCTGCTTACATGACCTGGCGCCGTCCTATCTGAAAGAGCTGCTGACGCCTTATGTACCCAGTAGAGAGCTCCGCTCATCCGATAGTGGCAAACTCTCGACACCACGTGTTTGCCTTGAGACTTACGGAAAGCGCACTTTCGCATTTGCTGGTCCAACAATTTGGAACGCCCTTCCTGTCGATCTTAGAAACAACC